CCCAAAACCCCAAAACCCCAAAACCCCAAAACCCCAAAACCCCAAAACCCCTTTACTACATCTTTTAGTAGTTAAGGTAAAATTTATTTGAGAAAACTTACTAAAATATAAACATGAGATAAATTCGTGAATAACTAAGTATCGGCTTATATAAACGCTTCGCAAAAACAAAATTACAGAAAAATAATTTAATTACAATAGTCTTAACTTCAGTATTGCCATTTAATGAACAAACTAACCATCTTGAATAATCAATTCTAAGCATATCAAACTGGACTAGCAGAACAATAATACGCTTTACATGATACCATGCTCCAATAAGAGAATTAATCTAGCTATTATATCTAAGAACTAACTGAGAAAGATTTTGATGAATATGCTGAGTTAGTAGGAGAATCATTTGAAAAAAGAGATTGTTTTTCGAAGATATTTGGGACTAAAAAGGAGGCTTTCGTGAAGACTCTTCATTCAATGAAACATTTAATCCTTGAATCTAAATGCTCATTCTTGGCAAGACACAAATAAACTAATGAGATTGGAGGTGGACAATGTGGAATAGATTATCTTGCAGATCATGATTGTAAGGCAGATGAAAAAGTTTAATATGTTCTGGATATGCTTGATAAAGCAAAAAATCAATGCATAGAGTTAGGTTTGATAGATCCAAATCTCAAATACTTAGACATAACCTGGAGTTTTAGTAGGGAAGGTCACGAAAATTAAGGACTCCAAAAGATTTTATCAAGATATTCTGATTTAAGAGCTAAAGAAAAAGGTTATGACTACACTCTTTGTGAAGCAACTCATTAGATTACTTTAAATAATGCTCTAAAAGTTGGATATGAGCTTATTAGTTTATTTGAGCCAGTGAAGTTTTTTAAGAAGGAAATAGCAGAGCAGTATAATATTCCTAGTGATCTCAAAACAGGAATATGCATAAAAAGTTTAGATTGGTGAAATATAAAAATTTTCTGACTAGTTTATTCAGATATTAAGTAAATTATTTAAAAGCTGTTAAGTTTATATTTAAAACATTTAATTTATATATTTTCAAAAAATTATTAATTGATCTTCAATTCAAATATTCTCTAATGGGGTTTTGGGGTTTTGGGGTTTTGGGG